GTGCTCTAGAATAAACCCATATTTCATTATGTTTACTTTTTCCATAAACAAAAGAAGAAATATTTGCAAGATTAAACCTTATGATTAATCATTTTTCATTCTGCAACATCCAAACCTACTTCTCAACAAAGACATAATGCTGCTTTCTATCACATGCACTTGTTTAGTTAATTTGATTCATTAATTTGACCACTGAGGTCATGTTTGTTCTTTATCTTACCAAGTTACTCCTTGTAGACCACATGTATTTTCCAAGTTTGAACTATAACTGACTGGATATTCTAGATGCAGTGATAATCACTCCTTCTAATAGCAAACTCAGGTAGTCATGTCAACAAAACTGTAGCCAAAATGGAGTCACTTAGAAACAGAGATAGGTCAGTTTATTTGGGGAACCCTGAGGTTTGCAGAAACAGTTTTTAAAATTATACACTTAGGGGATAACTCACACAAAGATTTACAAAATCCAGCCCTATGAGGACTGAGTACGTTCAGCAGCAAAGGATATAGAATGACAACTGGAAAAGGAAACAGAAGGGAAGTCTTTGAGGGATACTACACCTTGCTCCATTATGAAAGAAGGGCTGTCTAGAACCCAGAAACAAGCATTGCTTTTAGGAGGGATGATGCATTGACAGCTTTTCTTGCAGGCAGGGGCATTGCTCTGGGTCAATGGAATCCATGCTCAAATTCATTTTCCAGAGACCCAAATGCTCCCTGACTTTCTCCCACTGTCACTCAGCATTTCCTCACACCCAGCATTTCCCATTTCCAGTCTGATGGACTCAAATCAGTCATTATCACAGGATCTGGGGTGGTTTCACCTCTGCTTCCAGTGCTCTAGTTCAATATATATTTGGCCAGCTGACCCTTGCTTGAGCCCTGGATACTACTCAGGGTGGGAATAATGTGGGGGCGAGGGAGGGAAGGTGTCATCTTCACACCATGCCAAAAGTGTGTTGGTGATGGTTTTATAGGCATTGGAGGCCAAGAAGGAGCATCTGAGTCCCCCTTTCCCAGTATCCCTCCTGAGTGTTTTGCTCCTATTTTAAGCCTTCTCCCTGCTAGTAGTGAATAGTATCAGCAAAAAAACAAACAGTGATGAACTTGGAAAAGTTGGGTTTTTTGGAACACAACTCCCCAGTTAGTATGGTCAGTCAAAAAAGGGGGGTCCTCCCTCACTGGAACCTCCCCAAATTCTCCTCATTTTGCCATTAGACTTTTAAAAACTTCCCCTGACAAAAACCTAAGTGTTTGGGTGGAGGGAAGCTGGACTTTAAGAGGAAACATTGCAGGTTTGGTATCCCCCATGTATTTCTGATGAATGTCCAACTTACTTTAAGAAGCTGATTGATGATTTTTCATTATGAACAGTCGAGACTGAAATATTGATTCTTTTTTATTACTCAATAAAGGAAGACATTCCAACATCTACAACCATTTTAACATTTAACACTATGAAATGTATAAATGACATGTACCGAAGGCTATTTTATAAGGTAATGTACAAAAGAATGTACAAAAGAAAGCAAATACCTCTTCTTTTTTCTTCAGCGTTGCTTCTAATTCTTGTATTGTCTGGTTTAACTCTGTTTTGTGAGTATGGACAGCATTCGCTTGACTACTCACACATTCCAGCTCAGTCACCTATAAAAATAAATACAGACAGTAAATATACATTTAAAGGGCAATATGGACAATTTTTTTTGTTTTCTCTAGTACTTGTTTGAAAAAAATAACATATGTGGAATTATGTTTAAGTAGCCTTGCATGACATCTGGGTAAGATGTGTGAAGCATTCTTTTTTTTACTGAGTTAACTCCAACTTTTGTAAAAATGTGAGGATCTGAATCTAAAACAACACCAAAGAGCCACTGCAATGTTTCCTTCTCAATGGTCACAGAAAATCTTGATTTGTTTTTATAGACCATCTCCAAATCAAAATATTGCAGATATTGTAGAACATAGCATTCTTAGAGATCATCATTAAGAAGTAATCCCATTTGAATGCAGTAAATCAAATTTAACAGAAGCTCTGTTGGGTCCCCCAACGACCAAACCTTAACCTACCAAATGTGGGTTTCCCACTTGGGAAATCTCAGCAGTACCACCAGCCATGAGCAAACCCAACACTGTGGCCAAATATGGGGCTTCCATCCTTCAACCCACTAAATGTGAAGATTTCCATGGTGATCACTGCAACAACCAATAGTGAAGGCTCTTCCTGATCTCCACCCCTGCCATAATGTAACAGCTTTCTCCTGTCCTGTGTGACACCATCTAAATGCCCTCAAGGAATATACAATGATTTTATTCAACTTCTTTCCTCAACAAACAATTTCAGATTCGGCACTCCTAAACCTCCTCTCTCTTTCTCGTCTTGTAATATTTTAAGTCTTATTCTAGGTCTTTTATTTTGCCAAATGAAGCTGTTCATGTCTTTATGCCATATCCTAAAAAAGTTATCTATTGGGAGCATTTGAAATAGAAAAAGCATTTTCGGTAAAACCATCATTTTCAACGTTGCTATTCTACCTAGTAGTGATAATTGTTTTTTATTCCATCTATTTAATTCTTTCTTTATCTCATTCCATGTATTTTTGTAATTTTCATCAAACAAATTTAGTGTTTTCTTAGTCACCATTATCCCTAAGTACTTTACTTTCTTTTGTACCTTCATTCCAGTTTTCTTAATTAATTGCTGTTCTTCGTCTTTAGACATTCCTTTTGTAAGAATTGAAGATTTTTCCTTATTAAGTTTAAAACTTGTCACTTCTCCAAATTCTTCTATCGTATTAATTAAATGATTTATACAGTTATTCGGGTTATCTAAAAATAAAACAAGGTCATCCACAAATGCTCTAATTTTGAAACAAAAATTCGTAATTTTTAGTCCCTGTATTAAATCTTGGTTTTTAATTTATTTTATCAATCTCTCAATTACTACAAGAAATAAGAGTGGTGAAAGGGGGAAACCTTGTCTTGTCCCTCTCTTTATATCTATATTTTCAGTTTTTTCTCAATTAATATTAATTTTAGCTCTCTATTCTTTATATATCTTTCTTATCCATCCTGTGAATTTAGCGCCTAATTGCATTTTATTTAAAATCTCAAATAATGTCTTCCAATTAACTGTATCGAATGCTTTTTTGAGATCTATAAATAGCATTCCCAATTTTTTGTTGTTGTGTCTTTCATAATACTCTATTATCCTTTATTCAATTACTATTCTTAAATTTTCTCTCATTTGTCTATGAGGTAGAAATCCTCTTTGATCTTGCATATCTTGATTTCAGTAAGGCTTTTGACAAGGTCCCCCATGATATTCTTGCAAACAGGATAATAAAATGTGGACTAGGTTAGGTGGATTAGTAATTGGTTGACTGACCAATCCCAAAGGGTGATCAGCAACGGCTCCTCTTTATCCTGGAGAGAAGTGACCAGTGGGGTGCCACAGGCTTCTGTCCCGGGCCCAGTGCTATTCAACATCTTTATCAATGTCTTGGATGAAAGAATAGAGGGCATGTTTCTCAAATTTGCAGATGACACCAAATCAGGAGGAATAGCTAATACCCCAGAGGACAGGATGAAAATTCAAAATGACCTTAATAGATTAGAAAGCTGGGCCAAAGCTAACAAAATGAATTTCAACATGGAGGTCCTATGCAAGGTCCTATGAAATGCATAGATATAAGATGGGGGACACCTGCCTTAGCGAATCTACATGTGAAAGAGATCTAGGAGTCCTAGTAGACCACAAGTTGAACATATGTCAACAGTATGATGCAGCTGCTTAAAGGGCCAATGCATTTCTAGGCTGCATCAACAGAAGTATAGTGTCTAAATCAAGGGAAGTAATAGTGCCACTCTATTCTGCTTTGGTCAGGCCCCACCTGGAATACTGTGTCCAGTTCTGGGCACCACAATTCAAAAAGGATGTTGAAAAACGGGCGTATCCAGAGGAGGGCGATTAAAATAGTGAAGGGTCTGGAAACCATGCCCTATGAAGAACGACTTAGGGAACTGGGTATGTTTAGTTTGAAGAAGAGATGGTTAAGAGGTGATATGATAGCCCTGTTTAAATATTTGAAGTGATGCTATATTGAGGAGAGAGCTAGTTTGTTTTCTGCTGCTGCAGAGAACAGGACCCGGAACAATGGATGCAAACTACAGGAAAAGAGATTCCACCTCTACATTAGGGGGAACTTCCTGACAGTGAGAGCTATTCGATAGTGGAACACACTCCCTCGGAGTGTGGTGGAATCTCCTTCTTTGGAGGTCTTTAAAGAGACTGGATGGCCATCTGTCAAGGATGCTTTGATTTGAATTCCTGCATAGCAGGGGGGTGGACTGAATGGCCCTTGAGGTCTCGTCTAACTCTATGATTCTGATTCTAAAAAGAAGAGGGGGGAAATGTACAGAAACTGGAATTCAGACAGACGGTAGGCCTCTATATGGCTTTCTATGTAAAAAGATTGTTTGCAATTAAAGGATAATAATAATTCAATAGGCCCTATCCTTACTAATGTACTTATCTTCTTGCATGAATCTGCCCTTGATTTCCTTGCACAAAGGAAAGGTCTGAAGGAGATGCTGGCTGAACTGTTCCTGGATTATCGTGCAATCCTATTTGGAAAAGTCTTCATAAATATAGCCTTACTCCCCTTTAGACCCTCACACAATACCTAGATGTCAGAGCTGGAAAAGCAGATGCATTGTGGGAGGCAATATGGTCAGCAGTACAGTTATACTTTTTTTGTGTGGAACCCATTCTTGTGATTCATGCATGAAAGAAACAAGTGTGAGTTTATCCATTAAATCTGTGGCCAAGAGAGGTTGGTACTGGGAATAATACTGTTGTTGTGTGCCTTCAATTCCTTTCCAACTTCTGGCGGCCCCATCACAGGATTTTCTTGGCAAGATTTGTTCTGAGAAGGTGTACTATTGCCTTCCCCTGAGGCTGAGAGCATGTAAGGTCACCTAGTGGGTTTCATGTGGGTCGCCGAACCAGGAATTGAACCCTGGTCTCCAGAGTTGTAGTCCAGTACTCAAACCACTATGTCACATGGGCTTTTGGCCAGTGTCCTGAAGCAGGAGGGTATTAGGGACTGGTGGGAAATCTGTTCCATGAAGTTAAGAAAGCCCTCCCCTTGCAGTACTACACAGGGCTGTTTCAGGAGAAAGGGAAAAGAGCACCCTTTCCCTTTCTCACACTTCAGACAACCCCCCTGGCTAGACAGCAGGAATGGGCAACTTTGTTGCCCTTCAGGTCAGTGGGCATCAGGTCAGGATCCAACTATTTTGGCCACAGTTGGGAGGCGATGGGGCCTGGTGCTCTACCATCCCTGCTGATGGAGCCCTGGGGTGGAGAAAAAGAAAGACCAGTGACAAAAAAAAAAAAAAAAAAAAAAAAAAAAAAGAGTGAAAGGTAGGAGAGAAAAAAACAAAAGCACAGAGGGAATGACAAACAGAAACACAGGGTGAGTGAAAACCTATTTTCCAATGGAGGTAAGGAGAGAGTAAGAACACTTGAGTCTAGAGCTGAAAGTGCTTGAGCGGAAAAGGAAGGAAAGAGAACTGGGGCAAGGCTAAGGGGTTTCTAACTAATGAAACTGGGGATCTCTGTTAATCTAATATAGCAAATGAGAAATCCGAACAATCTAAGCACTGGAGATTAAATACAGGTGGCCCTCCATTTTCGTGGGGGATCCATTCTGGACACACACACCCACCAAAAATGGAGATTTGCAAATATTCAAGCCCCATGGGCTTGAACAGGGCCTGCCCACAGCTGCGTGCCCCACTGATTTAAATGGAGGTCACCCCTCTGTGAATATGCAAAACTGCTGACTTTAAGTCTGCGAGACGGAGGGGAGGGGTGACTATATATATCTTCTACAGGAACAACATGACATAAACTATGGGGTTATTCAGACGGTTTAAATAATTGGATGCATTTGAAATTGTTCACATCAATTTCAAATGCATCCAATTAAGTTTGGGGGAGGGCTGCCAACCCCCCCCCCCCCCCCAAAAAAAAAAACACGGGATAATCCATCTCGGGTTCTTTTCCCCAAATTTTCCTGAGAGATGTATATTGGTGGCTGTGTGAATAACTGATGTGGATAGACCCAGGATAAGACTGTGTATATCTTGAACATGTTTCGAATACATCCACATCATTGACTCCATCTTTATTAGCAGTGCGGACATATGTGGGCAACAGAACTCACAGATGCACAGAGATACAGTTCTGATTAAAAAAAAATAGGGTGAACAAATTGGGAATGTTTGAGTGAAATTATTTGAATAGTTGTGTTGCAAAACAAAATGTCTAGATAACCCCCAGGTCAGATCCCAGTTGTCTAAATCCATTGCAGTGCTAGCTAATCGCTAATAACACAGTGGGACCTTTTTCCTCTTCTCCTGCAACCCTCTATTCTTGGCCAACTGCTCCTCCTGGCAGTTCTAGAGGGTTGCTCAACTAGCCAAGTGCCAAAATTCGGTAAAACTAACCAAACTAGATGGGACTCCACTGTAGCTACCATCAAAAATGGAAACCAGAAACATCAGAATATCTAATCATAGATCTCACTTTCCATCTAGTTTAGTTAGTTAGTAAAAAGAACTGTCATTAATTTTTTTGTTAATCTTTACAAGACATGGAGAAAGAGCATCTCACACTCAAGAGACCAGCAATGTCTCTGGTGGAGACAGGTCTAAATACAGCAAATACTTGTAACTCTAGTACTTGTTTTCAACACACAAATCTCCTCTTCTTTTCAGTCAAGTAGAATTTGGGGGTGAGGGACAAAATCACTTCAAATGTCAAGTTCACTTGAGAAGATGACAAGGCTTCTATAGCAATGTCTTAAAATAGCACTTTAAAGATACACACCCAATTGCTATTAGCTTATTAAAACCTAAGTTTAGAAGCACAAGTAAGACTCCACATCACTAGCAATGGTTTTTTTGACTGTCAGTAGATTTTTGTCATAGTATGAAATGCAGACAACAAAAAACATAGTGGAAATGGAAATCTTTTATGATAAATGTGTGTGGGTTGTTTTCCCATTCAACTCTATCACCAGCTGGAATTCCAGACCAACGTTTCTTCTCTGGAAGAAAATTGGTTGAAGAAATGTGTGCTGTTGCAAGGGAGGGGGAAGTGAGGATGGAGGTAAACCACCAATCTTCTTTCCATTTCCACTGTCATGTACAGGAATCACTTAGTTCAGAAATACAGGCTTCGGAGGTGAAAATACAGGAAATTTTTATTCAGAAAACTAGTTTGTTGCCAGAACTAACCAGCACACATTAGCAAAACTTAATTGAAGCACACATCATTTCAAATCTTGGGTGCGCTACTTTCTCATTCATTATATCAAAACATTCTTTGCTCTCTTCTTTTCTCAGGGGCACCCCTCTCCTTTTCTCACCCCAAATGTTCTCAAGAAATTGACCTGCTTGCCACAGTCTCTACTCTCTGTCCATTTGCTCCTTAATCACCAAGTAATTTGGACAACAGTTCTAGGAATTAACAAACTACTATATCTTCCATCACTTAGCAGCAGCACTAGCAAATATAATATATTAGTGGTGGTTGTTGTGTGCCTTCAAGTCATTTCTGACTTACGGCAACCCAAAGGTGAGCCTATCATGGGATTTTCTTGGCAAGGTTTATTCAGAGAAGTTTTGCCATTGCCATCCTCTGAGGCAGAGAGAATGTGATTTGCCCAAGGTCACCCAGTGGGTTTCATGGCCGGGCTGGAATTTGAACTCTGGTCTTCAGAGTCATAGTCCAATGCTCAAATCACTATATCATGCTGGCTCTTTAATATAATTTTTGTTGTTGTTAACTGCCCTCGAGTCAATCTCATCTTATGGGGACCCTATGGATGAGACATCTCCAAGAATCTCTGTCCTCCACTGCTCTGTTTAATTCTTGCAATCTCTTAATGCCCATAATTTCCTTAACAGAGTATCATCCATGTGACATGTGGCCTTCCTCTCTTCCTACTTCCCTCCACCTTTCCCAGCATTATTATTTTTTTCCAAAGAGTCTTCTCTTCTCATAATGTGTCCAAAGTACAACAGCCTCAGTTTGGTCATCTTGGCTTCCAGGGAGGTTTCCGGCTTGATCTGCTCTAGGTCACACTTATTTGTTTTTTTGCTGTCCATGGGATCCTCAGCACTCTCCTCCAGCACCACATTATCTCAAATTAATTGATTTTCTTCCTATCACCTTTCTTAAATGTCCAGCTCTCACATCCGTACATGGTAATAGGGAATACGATGACTTGTATGATTCTACCTTTTGTGCTGAGTTGCATATCTTTGCATTTTAGAATCTTTTCTAGTTCTTTCTTAGCCACCTTCCCCATTTTTAATCTTTTTCTGATTTCCTGACTAGAGTCCCCATTTCTATCAATTTTTGAACCCAGGTATGGGAATTTTTTTATGATTTCTATTTCTTCATTGTCTAGGTTGAACTTGGGAAGGTCTTCGGTGGTCATTATTTTTGTTCTCTTTATGTCCAACATTAAGCCTGCCTTTGAACTTTCTTCTTTGATCTTCCTTAGTAGGTGTTCCAGGTCTGTGAGGTTCCCTGCTAGTACTATGGTGTCATTTGCATATCTTAGATTGTTGATATTTCTTCCTCCTATTTTCACTCTTCCTTCTTCTGTGTCTAAGCCTGCTTTTCTTATAATATGTTCTGCATACAAGTTGAACAGATAAGGTGAAAGGATGCAACCTTGTCTGACTCCTTTGCCAATTGGGAACCATTCTGTTTCTCCATGTTCTGTTCTGACAGTAGCCTCTTGTCCTGAGTACAGATTCCTCATCAGGACTATCAGATGTGTTGGCAGTCCTATGTCTTTAAGGCCATTCCATAGTGTTTCATGATCTATATATAATATATGCCAACAAATCTCTCTGGCTTTTCTTCGCAAACGAAGATTCAGGAAGGACTTATCC